TGTTTACTTTGGAGCAGAGGAGACTGAGGTGGTCATGATTGAGATGTATATAATTACAAGGGGCATAGACAGGAAGAAGCTTTTCCCTTTGGTGGAGGGATATATGACCAGCAGGCATAGATTTAAGGTAAGGAGCAGGAGATTTAAAGGGGGTGTGAAGAAATTTCTTTTCACTCAGAGGTTGGTGGGAATCTGGAACTCACTGCCTGTAAGGTGGTAGAGGCAAAGATCCTCATATCATTTAAGAAGTATTTGGATGCACACTTCCAATGCCAAGGCATACAAGACTATAGGCTAAGTGCTGGAAAATGGGATTAGAAAAGTTAGGTGTTTCTGACTGGTGCAGACTCAATGGGCTAATGAGCCATCTTCTGTGCTTGAAATTCTATGACTCTGACGTTTATACTCCATTTCCCTTGCAATAAATAACATTCCAATTGCCTTCCCAATTACTACCTGTAACTGCACACCAGTAATTGATGTGAATCATGTACCAAGACACCTCCCGCACCACAGTTTTTAAAATTTTGTCCATTCAAATGTTCCGTTTTTCTATTCTAGCTTGCTTTTTAGTTTGATTTTATTTTTGTGGACAACACAGCCTGTGAATCTTGGTTGAGTGATTTGAGCAGGATTGCAAATCTGTGGGGTGGCCAGTGGCAAGACATTTGATAATCTTTTGACTCCAAAGAAAAGTTGTAATGATTGGGCACTTCAAATTGACGCCCCACATGGGAACATAGGAACTTGGGAACAGGAGTAGGCCATTCAGCCCCTCAAGCCTGTTTCACCATTCAATGAGATCATGGTGATCTGGGGCCTAAATCCATATACCTGCCTTTGGCCCACCCAAACTTCACACTCTTAGAATCACCAGAAATCCCCCCTACACCTCCTGCTCACCAGCATTACCCGCTTCGATTCCGATGGTCTAAAGGTCCCTGTTTTTTCCTGTTAAGTGTTGGTCACTAAAGGATGAACAGCAGCAGGTACTCCCCAGCCATCAGTGGCTAGCCACTTAGACCAATTAAAGGTCTAATGGGGGAGAGCACATGTGTAGACTCCCCTGGGAACTTGCTCACATTGCCCAGAGGGAAAAACCAGTAATACTTGGAGATGAATGGATTGATCCTTCAATTTGAAGTGCACAACACAAGCGCAACCAATATATTTCATTCGCCAGTTTGACCATTTCTCCTCCTGCATGGATCAGACTCCACTGAACCCAGCAGCTATGGTGGCATCCTCTTACCAGCAAACTGGGCAGACATCACAGTTAGGGATATAGGGAGCGATCAGAGTTGTAGGATTCATGCTGTGATGACAAGACCATGGGAATGAAAGGCCATACTCTCTGGAGGGATTTCCCTTCCAATCAGATGGCCCTATCAGTTCCGAGCCTCTGCATCTTCGAAATTATAAATTATGCTTCTGAGAGGTCTCAATATTGAGGCATGCTGTCTCCCCTTGCCACAATCAACCAGAGCAACTCTCACCTTGCCAAATCTGCAAGCTCTCTTATTGTGCTTTCATTCTAATTTACGAATCTGCCTGCCCTCCTTTATTGGTCACTCCACTTCAGTTGACACCAGACGATCAGGTATTGGCTCTTATAGGATCAGAACACAGAAATGGCCCTGAAAATATTCAGCCAGCAGCATTTACCTGACAAAGGAATATTGAGAAAAACCTTCCAACAAGACATTCTGCATGCTTTGCTAGTTAAGAAATAATCTAATGTACATAGGGCCTAAAGAAAAAGACAATAACAACCCAATAACACATTTATGGATGATGCATTTAAAATGTTGTAAACATTGCATGAACTTGGCATGTGTTTACATGTTTAAATAAACCCCAAACATATTTCTAAAATATTTATGACGCATATTTGCTCCCCTTCAACCATGTCATGATTTTAAAATCTCTCCACTGCAGCATAGATGCCAAAAATGATAATATCAGTTACACATGAAGTACAATGATAGCAAGTGTTCATATGTCAGGAACAAGAGCACTGATCATTTATTAATGCATATTGGCAACACACCTTCTGATTACTCATGATTTGGCTGTTCTATGTAACCAGGAACTGGTTTATTATTTTTAGATTTTGTTTTAAATCATGCTATGACAAACCTCTGACGCAGGTAGGACTTGAACCTGGCCTTTCTGGCAAGTCTTGTGTATATCACTTACTTCAATGTGGAACGTATTCTCCAAAACAGCAATCAAGCAATTTGTCAAGAATAAAGAATAGGAACAGGAGTAGACCATATGGCTTATTGAGCATGATCTGCCATTCAGGTTTAGCTCCACTTTCCCATGTACTCTTTATATCACTGAATTAATTCCCTGAAAGGCCAAAATGAGACGCTAAGATATAGGAACAGAATTAGGCCATTTGGCCCATCGAATTTGTTCTGCCATTCAGTCCTGGCTAGTATGTTTCTCAACCCAATCTCCTGGCTTCTCGACAAAAACCTTGATTCCCTTGTACCTTGCTCCTTTTATCTTATCTTATTTAGTGGTCTTCTTTGTGACATCTTGTCAAAGGCCTTCTGGAAATCCAAATAGATCACATTCAGTGGCACTTCTTTGTCTAATTTGCTCATTACTGCCTCAAAGAATTCTAACAGATTTGTCAGGCATGATCTCCTTTTGACGAAGCTGTGCTGACTTCATACCTATTTTACCATGCACTCCCAAGTATTCCACAATCTCATTCTTTATATGGATTCTCAAATCTTACTAATGACTTAATTCAGGCAAACCGGCTTATAAGTTCTTGTCTTCTGCCTCCCTCTTTGCTTAAACGGGGGTATTACAATCACCATTTTCCAGTCCTTTGGAACTCTCCCTGACCCCAGCGATTCCTGAAAGATCACCACCGATGCCTCTTCAATGTCCTCAGATATCTCCTTCAAACCTCTGGGGTGTAGTCCATCTGATCCGGCTGATTCATCCACCTTCAGACCTTTCAGTTTCCCCTGCACCTTTCTCCTTATAGATGGTCACTACACTCACCTCTGCTCCTTGACGCTGTTGAATTTCTGGTATTCTTCTACTGTGAAAACCAATGTAAAGTACCTATTCAATGCCTCCGCCATTTCTTTGTTCCCTATTACTACTTCTCCAGCCTCATTTTCCAGCTGTCCAATATCCACTCTTGCCTCTCTCTTATCCTTTAAATATCTAAAAAACTCTTGTGAACTTCTTTTATATTACTAGCTAGATTAATTTCACATTGCATCTTCTCCTAGCTTATTGCTTTTTTAGTTATTTGCTATTGGTTTTTAAAGGCTTGCCAGTCATCTTCACCACATTGTATGCTTTTTCTTTTGTTTTTATGCTGCTCCTGACTTCCCTTGTCAGCCCTGGTTGCCTCATCCTCCCCTTAGGATGCTGCTTCTTCCTTGAGATGAATTTCTGCTGTGCCTCCTGAAATACTCCAGAAACTCTAGTCACTCTGCTCCACTGTCTTCCTTGCTAGGCTCTCCTTCCAATCAACTCAGGCCAGATCGTCCCTCATGTTTTTATAGCTACCTTTACTCAATTGTAATATTGTTACATCTGATTCCAACTTCACCCTCTTGATCTGTAGGGAGAATTCTATCATAGTATGGTCACTGCCCCCTGGAGGTTGGGATCTTTCACCTTCAACTCTCCAATCAAATCAGTATCATTACAACAAATCCAGAATTGCCTGTTCCTTAGTGGGCTATACCACAAGCTGCTCCGAAAATCTTGTAGATACAAATTCCTTATCTTGAGATCCACTACCAACTTGATTTTCTCAGTACACCTGCATATTGCATTTTGTCTATCCCAACCTTAAATGCATTTGATGATGGAGACTCCACAACTTTTAGTGTAGAGAGCTCCAAAGATTCATCAGCCTTTGGAATGAAGCAATTACTCCATATCTCAGTCCTAATTGATCAGCCCCTTTTCTTAAGATTGCACCCATGTTTTTTACACACAGATCAGCAGAAACAATCTCCTGGCATCGAACCTATCAAGCCCCTTCAGAATTTTGTACATTTAAATAAGATCACATCTCATTCTTCTAAATGCCCAATTTGCTCACTGTCATAGGACAATCACTTCCCTCATCCCACAGACTAACCTGAAAAGCCTTCACTGCATCGACTCCAGGGCAAATACATCCTTTCCTAAGTATGGAAACCAAAGCGGAGCACAATATTCACCAAAACCCTGTACATATAGCAAGGTTTCTTTTTTACCTGAATTCCAGTACTCTTGCAATAAACGCCAGCATGCCATTTGCATTCCTAGTTGCTTGCTGCACCTGTATGCTAACTTTTTGCATTCTTTGAACATCAACACTTGCACATTTCACAACTCCTAAATATTTATTGCGCTTTTCTATTCTGCTGACCAGATTGAATAATTTCATCGTACCTACGATATATACTATCAACCATCATCTTGTTCACTTATAAACTGGCAAGACCTCTTTGTAGCTTCTCTGAATTCGCCCTTTAGCTCACCTTTCCGCTTAGTTTGGTATCATCAACAAACTTAGGTATATTACTCTGTTTCTTGATCTAAGTCATTATAATAGACTGTAAATAGTTAACACCCCAGGATTGTTCCTTGCGGCACTCCATTATTCGCTGCGGCACTCCATTATTTGCTGCTTACCAAACTGAAAATGTCTCATTTATGCTCACTCTCTGCTATCACCGTCTATCCATGCTAATTCTATCGTAACTCCTGCCAGTCAAATCTGTAACATCTGCTTACCTGTGACTTAAATCTCCCAGATTCTGATTTGCATTCCCATGATGTTGTAGTCTCACTTTGTACAAGCCTGGTTCAATCTTCCTCACTAATAATTGCTACTGAGTTCCAATAATGTACAAATTGCAGCAATAGCCAAATCCATTCCAGTGAAAGCGGGGAATGTGAAATGCACAAATAATGAAGACCATACAATGGCAGCATAATGACAGAAAACAAATTTAGCTTCAATTTCTTTTTATTGAAAATTGAGAACAGCCCATGTAAAACAACAGGAAGTGATACAGTTTTGCTGAAGACAGTCTCTTCATAGAAATCAGATTTACTGATTCAGAACATGCTTCAAATCTTTAAAGACTTCCTTGCTTCTAGTTAAGAACTCCATTACAAATTTTCTGAAATACAGCAGTGTTCTCCAATTTATTTCAGCAACTGTAGCCCATGCATTCACTGTATACAAGCAGTCTTTTCATACAAAGTATGCACCGAGATTTGCTAGCATAATTTCCCTTAAATATCAAGTTGAAATGTCCAGATTAGCCATATATAACTGTAGCATTTACTGTGTAAGCTTTTGAAGTACAGTAAGGCAAACAGGTTAGGTAGTGCTGCGTTATCACTGCAACTAATGGTTGGAAAAACTACAAATTAACCAGTGGCTTTCATGGCTCAATTCTGAGTCATCCCATACTAGATAGCATTCCACACGTTGCAAGGCCTTCAACATTAAATAATGCGTTGTGCTACCATCAGTTTCTCTCGCACATGCAGCTAGTGCAGTCTCGGCAGAAATATTGCTTGGTCTACGTTTGGAAAAAAATGTTTTAAAATAGTCAATACTTTCATAGACATCCTTGCTTTTCTTCTTGGAATTCCTGACATTCCAGAAATTGTAATACGCAAGCAAAGACAGTCACACATTAGAAGTGTAACCTCGTCATACACGATCTCGCTCCCAACTCACTTACAATAATAGCCTTCTGAAGTTCTATCTGAAACCAGCAGCACTGGTATTAACTGTTAAACTTCCCATGTAACTAATTCCTGTTAAAAACATATTGCAAAGAATGAGGTTGTAGATAATTTGTTACATGCAGTACGAGAAAATAATCCTTGCAGTAGAAAACATGTTTGTCCTGTATTGTACAATTTTAATATAAATTAAGAAAAGTTGTGGGTTTTTAAAAAAAATGTTCATATTATAAGTCCATTTATGGACACCCTGAGTCTACAGTAGACACACACACACACACACACACACACACATACACACATACGCACAAAATTGGGAATCTGGTGGTGTCTAAACCAGAGATGCCAATTCTCCCGATTCTGATAGGAATCCTGGACAGTTTCCTTTGCAACTAGATTTGTTCGAAGACAGTATTCCTATAATTTTGAAATTCACTGATAAAATATTAAGTGATTTCCCATCTCTTGCTGTCTGTTTTAGCCCTGCCCTTCTTTAATGTCAGGCTGCTAATATCCTTTGGTCAAGAGCTCAGCAAGTGGCATTCTATAGATACCAGTGGGTATATACTCCTCAGAATTCTACAGCAAGGTAGGCAATCAATCGCCTCATTGCACCAGTGAAGAGGAGTTAACGACTGAGTCCCATTGCAAACACAGAGAAACATATTTTGATCCTGATTATATTTTCCCTCATTGAAAATGGGAGGAAAATATCTGTAATAATGCAGTACAAACATGCTGGGAAACATAAGACAGCAGTCAAAAAACTTAAATGGTTCTGTTGTTTTGCTCACCACAGCAAGACAATACCAGAGTCGAGATGCAAGAAAAAAAAGTGAAGCAAGCTAAACATTAGGGCAGTTTTAAAAATAAATAGGTAAGTACAAGGAAACAAAACAAAAACAAAAACAAAACAGTATACAAACGTGCAGCATGTGACAGATTGCTTTTGTGGCTTCAGTCCATTGAGATCACAGTTTGGGGTTGGAAAGTTGGCATCTTTGTTAGGATTGTTTGGCGGGGGGGGGGTGGCGGCGACGCAGATATTGGGAAAAGTGTCAATTACTAAATCAGAATGGCAAAGATCATTCGCACTACATTTGAAGCAGCTTTTATATAAAACTACTACCAGCAAGCTTAGATAAAAACATGTAGAGAGCGACCACTCTTTGTTGAGCATGCTTTTAAACCCAATGTCTTGGACAATTATGTCTGTGTATAATGAGTAGGTCAAAAACAAATTACCTCCAATCCCGTTTGGGTTTGCTCCCACAGAGGCAGGACTGTCTGACTGTCTTTTGGCAAATTGAATATTCAGGTATAGACATACTGAGATGTGAAGTTGTTTGACTTAACATGCCCTTGGAGCACTGTTTAAAAACACAAAAAAATGCAGCAAACTGTGCACAATTTTATAGATCTCATCTGCTCATGCATCCTAGAACCTGATAGCCTAGTTGTTTTCTATTTGCTCAATGTCTAGTTCACCATCCAGCTGAAACACATCTTGTCCAGCTTCCTCCTTCCTCCATGAGTCTTTATCATTCTTCTCACTTGGCCAGCTTTGCTTCACAACTCCAAACACTTTAGTGTTCTCCCTGCCAGTTTCCCCTTTGCTAGTAGAGGGCTTTTCTGAGTCTCCATGATGCTGTGGTTCTGGACTGCAGGCGGGGGTTGTGCCCGGCATGGGAGCTGAAACATAGACGTGTGGTGTCCATGTCTTTGCTGCCGTTGAGTTCGGTGAGATGGTCTGTTCCTGCTGGCAGCAATCATTCCCAGTGGAACCCACTGAGCAGGGGCTGTGAAAATTCCTGAGATT